CAATACACCCTGAAACTACCCCACCAAGAGCGAGCCTGCCCCTCAGGCCTCAGCCCCCCGGTACCCCACAGCTGCGATGAAGGGCTCCAGAGCGAACAGGTGGCCACCTCCTCCTCCGATACCCCAGCCTCTCCCGCCCCCCCGGGGCCCCGCACTGCACCTCGCACGCTAAAGCGAGGGGGACCCCCCCCAGTACCCCGATAGATGCGTGCAGTTTCAATACTCTGCTCACGACCAGCACAGGAAACCATCACGATGACGACCCGGCCGCCGGTGTTTAAATGTCCCTCAGCCGGTGACAGCGCTCCCCTCCCGCCTCCCCTGCTGCCGGTCTCACCCACCCCCCCCCCGGCCTCATTCAGATCCTAATTAGTTTAATATATATATAAATAAACAAAAACAAAACCGACGCCGGTGAAAATGTCGGCAGAAAAAGTTTTGACGTTCTCGAGCCTCGGACAATGCACGCGCGCCGGCTCGCCTCCCGCCCGCCCGCTCTCCCGCACGAGCCGCGGCTCGATCCCGGCTCCAAACGGACCCGCCCGCGTCAAGAAACCCGGGGATGCGGGTCCGGCGATTACCGAGAGAGAGAGTCGAGATCGCAGGCGTCCCTCGTCGTCGGGGTTTGAGTTCGAGGGGAAAACGAAAAAGAATCGCTTCCTCTTGCGGCCCGGTCACGCCGCGTCCCGCTCGCTCAGGGAAGCTGAAATGGCGTAGCGCTATTTTGAAACCGGCCTGCCGCTGGGCCCGACGGGAGGTGTAGTTCTAATCCCCTCCGCCTTCGCCGCCACAGCCGCCGGGCACAGAGGAAGACCCCAACTCCCAGGGATCTGTGCGGCAGAGTCATTACCGGGGTGTCGGGGGAGCTTGCTGGGCAGATGCGCGTTAAAAGTGAACATAACATCAAGTGTTATTTTTTTTTAAATTTGCAGTCCCAGTGAGTCAGTTTTAAGAAGCACATCCTTCAGTTAGCGCTCTGATTATGAGTAAAGCCCTTTATGCATTAAAGGGACATTAACACATGTGACAGAATGAAGTATACCATACTATCCACAATTAAAAAAAATGACTATCCGCAATTTTTAACAACAAAAAAAAGAACATCAGTTTTATTATTTCCCCTTCCCTGGACGTTTTCAGGCGAGGAATGCAGTATTTAAACGGGATCAGAGGGGTCAGAAACCCGGAGGCAGACTTTTCTCTCCCCGGGAAACCCGTCTCTCTTTAGGACCCGCGGGCTGAAGCAGCGGGGCCAAACTTGCTGGGAACTGGAAAGAATTGAAAGTGAAATTTCCCACATGTTTCCCCTCCATAGCGCCTGGCCCGGAGCCTGAGCCACTAGCAACAACTTCGGCTATGAAACCGTAGCGGCGCAAAAACACAGGCCAGTAGCCGGAGATACACGAACACATCCCCCACGCTGGAATTCAGCACAACAGGAAGGATATCAGCCAAAGGCGAGTTGGTGTATTCTGTTGCTTTAGAGAGAGATGCTGCTGAGATGATGATTTAAAGAGCATGCATTAAGGCACAGATGCGGGTGATGTTTCTATCTCTCTCTTTTTTTTTTGGAAGACGCCAGTAAGTTAAAAACAACATCCTTACGCAAAAGTGTTCTGATAACGCTGGCCTTCTGCTATCAGGAGAGGAAACCGTACCTGATTATTTATTTTTTTGCAGGGGCTGGGGGAATGAGTTTGAGTCGTTCACTCCGATGACAGCGGAGTGGAAAAAAAAAAACTGTGTTGTTGTTGTTTTCCCTCCCCAAGGATAAGTTGCAGGTATTTTGCGGGCACGACCGGCACCGACTAAATTAAATGAGCGCCGGGAAAGGCGTCGTAATTTGCTTTTTGGGATCATTCATGAAAGTGACGTTGCTGGCCCAGGCGTGTTGAGGTGATGCGGTGAAGTTCGCAGGTACTCGTTTCTTCCCTCAAAAAAAAAAAACACCTAAAAACGTGTTCAAACCAGTTGCTATCGACTTACCTGTTAATACAACGCGCAAAACGGGGGAGGTGTGCGTAAATTTCAACACTCGCTTCCGTTTGAGCAAAACGGTCTATCGCCGGGCTTTACACGGTGTGCCCACAGTGGATTTAAATCGCTCGCTGTCGGTTTGGTACGGTTTTGTTGGCGACAGGAAGCGCCCGTCTTCCTTGCGGATCGGCACCGCCTGCGTGTCCGACGGGGCTGGCAGGGCTCCCCTCGTCAGCCACTGTGCGCACTCGAGCCCGGGGATGAGAGGTGTTGTGTAGGCCGGAGAGATGGATAAAGTTCAGTTTTCGCAAACGGCTTTCCTTGCGCCCGGTAGACATTTTATATGTGTACCTCTTTCTAGTTGAACCAAATCGCCCCGTGTAGCCTGACGTTGTAACTTTGTTTCTGATTGTTTGTACGAAACTACACAAAAATTTGAAAAGGTTGTGTCGTTGCCTTGGATTTTTCTGGATTTGTATCGGAATGCGGCGAAGTTTTAGCCCTGTTCTACTCGGACAGGCGACGAATTTAAATTCGCGGTATATGAAATTATTTCAGAAAGTTGTTTTTCCTAGCTTGATAGCTTCCCCACACAACATTTGGGACATATAGCGCCTTTCACGCCCTGCTAAATCGTGTCTTTCACAGCCCGACAGCGGAAATGTAATTAACTTGTCTTCACCGGTAACTGTACAAACAGGCCGTAGAAAAAGAAGAAAGCACATAAACTCAGTTATGGGGGACATTCGGTCGGTCTAGTGCGTTTGTTTACGGATCTCATCGGGCTTTTAAGTGAAAGAAGCTGGTGTATCAGCTTTAACAGCATGGCTGGGTAACTTGTTCCACACCTCCACCTCCCTTTGCGTAAAGCGGTGTTTTGTCCCGAGTGAAGCATGTCAAACTGCCGTTTGTTGGAAGAAGCCAGGGTAGTGGCTTCAGCAACATGGCTGAGGGGATTGTTTCCCCCACATTTCCCACAACCCTGCGTGAAATGACATGCCACTTGTGAACGGTTTTTAAACACACTTCCATTTCGTTTCCACGTTTGTGTCCCCTGGTTTGTGTTTCGCTTGTTGGTCAAGAAGGAGTCCGGCATGGTGACGGTGTCAGTGCCCTTGAAGATTTTGCATACAGGACAACTGCAAAGGAGCAGGCACCCATCCCATTTCTAACGGCTTCTTCCGATTCAGAGTCGCGGAGGGAGGGGGGGAGGGGGGCTGGAGCCTATCCCAGCAAGCAACAGGACCAAGATGGGGTACACCTTGGATGGGGCAGACAGACTCAGACAAACAGACACACACCAGGGCCAATTGTGACAGCAGCCCATTAACCCACCTGCATATCTCTTGACTGTGGGAGGAAACTGGAGGACCCGAAGGAAACCCATGTGAACACGGGGATGACATGCAAACTCCATGCAGATGGCACTCCCAGGAATAGAAACCAGATCCCTAGTTCTGTGAGGAGGCAATGTTCACCAAAGCACCACCATGCCTCCTCTATAGGGGATCAGGAAGTATGTCTGTTTCCACACGCAATCACCATGGGTTGTAGAAGCCTTGTTAACAAAATGCCACCCAGCACTTTACAGAAACATGTTCAACTGGTGTGTTATGCTCTCTGGGGCTATCGTTATCAACAAGAATAATGTTATCTTCATCATTGAAAGAGCTAATTGGGTAGCAGTGTTCAGGGTACTGGACTTTAAACTGAAAGGATGCAGGTTCAGATCCCAGGAGAGGCACAGCTGTTGCACTTTGGAGGAACATGTGAGTTCAGATGTCAGGAAATGCACAGATATTGTACGATACAGCAAGGCTGTTCCAATCCAGGGAAAAGTACAGCTGTTGTACTCTGGAGCAGGGTTGCAGGTTCAAATCCCAGGAAGGGCACAGCTATGCTACTCTGGAGTGAGCTTGTGGGTTCAAATCCCCGAGGGACATAAGCAGTTGTATTCTGGAGCAGAGCTGCAGGTTCAGATCCTTGGAGGGGCACAGCTGTTGCCCTCCGCAGCAGGGGGCTACACTTAAATCGCTCCAGCAGAAATGCCCGTCTCTGTCAAAGAGCATGTACGGGGGTTGCTTTAGATACGAGCGTCAAGTCGGATCCACAGCAGATGCAACAGTGAGAGAGGTGGAAGTGAGAGTTTTCGCTTTGCTGAGGCTGGTGTGCAACGAAGGCTTTTGAAGCGGCGCTTCAGTGAAGGACTCGTTGATTTTCTGTTTCCTTCTGTTGGGTTTTGCAGCCATGGATGGAGAGCGCCAGAAACGGAAAGAGGAGATCCAGAAAGCCCTTGGCTTCATCCAGTGAGTAACACTGCCTGCTCTGCACTTTGTATCTCCTTAGTGATTGCTGAGGCTGTGAGGCTGACAGCTGGTGTTTGTGTTCGCAGGTCGTCGCTGCCTTACCCAGAGCCGGAGGGCTACGAGGTGACCGACCGA